GGGGGGGGGGGTCCAGGACAGGCCCCCGCCCACCGACCTTGAGGAACTCGAGGTTGATGTACGGCAGGCCGCAGGTGCGCAGCTCCATCTCCAGCGGGCTGAGTGTGGTGAGCAGCTGCAGGGGGATGACGGCGCCCAGGCCCGCCCTCACGGCCGTCACGCACTCGGCGTTCTGGAGCTCCCGCAGCCGCAGGCTCCGGATGGCCGCCGCGTAGATGTCCTTGTTCTCCCACCTGCGGGTGCGGGGGGCCCGGGCGAGGGGAAACGGTTACCGGGCGTCCTGCCTCTCCTGCCTCCGGGCGTCCGTCACCCGCCTCACGGCTGGGGCCTTCTTAATAAAGTCCCGCTGCCGAATGCACGCCACCCTTCCTGGAACCCCGCATCCTGCCCCACAGCCGTCCCTCTGGTGAGATCCATCACCTGACCCGGCGCCCAGGCCGCCCGCCCCAACGCTCCCCTCGCGCACACACTCACGCCACGGGGATGTGCCGGCCGCGGCTGCACAGCTCCACTTCCTCGCCCGTCATGGTCAGGTACGTGAACCTGCAGCAGGGCTTGGGACCCTCGGGGCTCTCGGTGGCCAGGTGCTGGGAGGCGATCTCGGCACAGAGGGCCTCTAACTCCGTCTCGTCGTTGATCTGGAGGGCGGAGGCAGACGGAGGCTAATTGCCTGTCCTGCTCCCAGGGTCCCCGGGAAGACGGAACCCGAATCTCTAGTCGGGCAGACACCAGGCACTGTTCGCACGGGGACCACCCTTGGCCATTATGAACGTGCACATGGCACGGGCCTGGCCAATCGGTTTGCCGGGAGTTCAGGGTTAGGTATGTGGCCCAGGCCACCTGAGACCTAATGAAAACCAAATTGGAGGGCTTTTCCTGTTACCATTTGGAAGCAGCAACGCACTTTCACTGGTGTGGACACGACTCTTAAGATGTACATCTTGTACTACTAGGGGCCATCTTGAAACCAATTACTGAGGACATTGTTTGAGCACCAGGATTCAGCCTTGCCTGAAGCCAAACCTACATCCGTGTTTAGTTTTATTTATTTTTTACGCGTTCGTTTTTGAGAGAGAGACAGACACCGAGTGTGAGCAGGGGAGGGGCCGAGAGGGGGAGACAGAATCGGAAGCAGGCTCCAGGCTCTGAGCTGTCACCACAGAGCCCGACGCGGGGCTCGAACTCACAAACGGCGAGATCGTGACCTGAGCAGAAGTCAGAAGCTTAACCGACTACGCCATCCAGGCGCCCCGATCCATATTTAGTTTTAAAAGCAAATCATTTAAAAACACCAAAATTAGGGTCCAAAAGACGCTGAGGTGCCTGCTGGGCTACTGAGGAGATGCCGGGATCTGGCCCAGAGAAGAACAAACTTGCCCTTCTGGCATGTTGAAGGTGACTGGAACGAGTACCAGAAGGTCAGAATCTCTCTGCCTGGTCTGTGTGCCCCAACCCTGCTGTAGCCTGGTGTCCCAACACGCTCTGTGGCTCTGCCCAGCGCCTTCGGAAAGAAGTCTCGGCCGGACGGTCTTCCTGGACACTGTCTTATATCCCCCCGCGCACCCCAGGCCCTTGCTGCTGCCCATAGCCCCAGGAGGACTTCCTGAAGCAGTGCCGGGCAGGGACTCCTAAACCCCTCGCCCAGAGCGGCCGTCCTGCGTTGACCTTTTAGATAATTCCCTGTCAACCCCATTTCTGCCACTAATCCGAGATCCTGGCTTTGGTGCGCCCTCGTGCCGGCTGCCCTCAAGTGGCGGCTCAGGGGGGGACAACAGACAGCCTGGCCACGAGGCCCCTCAGGGGGCCCCAGTTTTGTGCCTCCTTCGGCTGGGGTTCCCGTCGAGAGCCGCCTCGGCCCGGCCTCAGTCTGCTCCCCTGTGAACACGGGCAGCGGGGGAGTCAAGGGGGAGGGCCGGGGCAGGGGCACCACCACACTCCGTCTCGAGCTTGAGGAGGCTTTTCAGCCAGACGGGCCCAGGTTCGCCCCGGTGGCTCTGTTCCCAGCCCACCCTCCTCTCTGAGCCTCCCTTCCTCCCGGCCTTGTCACGAGGACTTGTGCACACAGCCCTTCCGAACAGGGCCTCGCGTATCGGGAGAACAACCCGGAAGCTTCCTATGGCTGGGGCGAGAGCCCAGAGCCCGGCCCACGGCAGGCTACCACGACGCTAACCGGTGGACAGACCTGAAGGGGTCCCACGGGCTCAGCTGGCAGCCTGAGCGCCGACCACACCCCCGCCAGGGGGCCGGTCAGACGTGGCGAGCTCTCACTACCTCTTTGTGTTCCCAGGCACGAAGAGGACAGCTACGTTCCCAACTCTGTCCCTGGCCAATCCCAGGTGACCCCCAAGAGCCGGTCTCCTGTGCTCTGAGGCCCTGAAGCCAAACTCTCTTTTGTTTATTTTTGAGAGAGAGTGTGAGCGGAGGAGGGCCAGAGAGAGAGGGAGACACAGAATCCGAAGCAGCTCCAGCTCTGAGCCCTGATGCGGGCCTTGAACTCACAAACCAGGAGATCATGACTTGAGCGGAAGTCGGACACTTAAACCACCTGAGCCACCCAAAACCAAGCTCTTAAAAGTGAAAGTGGGTCCACTTGTAGGAGTCCCCACCCTGACATCCCTGCCTGCTCAGTCAGCTGCCGGGAACCCTTCACCCCTGTGTCCTTGGGAGGCCCAACAGCAGCAGATGGGCAGTGACCGACGTGCCCCATCAAGCAGGAAGAGAAGCCAGAGAGGCTTCTGTCCCCACAAAGCAAGCCCGGCAGAGACAGCTCACGTTCCCTAACGTTCTCTGGGAGACCCCGATCGGTCCTTGGGGGGAAGCCTGGGCTCCCGGGGTTTGGAGGCCCAGCAAATGGCAGATCACAGAGGCAGCCACGAGCCCCGGGGACACTGCTCTGGAGTTCTGCTGTCCCCAGAATAAATGCCTCACTCACTTACGCTCTCAAATTTCTTGACGTAATTGTAGGTGAGTATGTCTGCTTCCTGCAGGTCTTGGTCAGGGTCCAGAGGCTCACCCACCAGAGTCTTCCAGAAGGAAGGCAGGAGGTCCAGGGGAAGAGGGACATCTGCTCGAATCGCAATCCCCAGCAGCTGGCCCAGGAAGTGCAGGAGCTGCTCTTCCCCGTAGGTGATGGGGCTGGGGGTCAGGATATACTTGCCCTGGACACAGAGGCAGAGATGCAGCGACTGCCGGGCGCCTCCCCTCCTCCCCGGGAACACAGGTCCCGGCCACTGCCCCGCCATGGCCCGCGCCTCGGCCGTCTTACCTTGTTTTTGTTGACGGCTGAGCTGGGGCACAAGAGCAGGAGGGACAGTGAGGAGCTCTGCAGCTCTTTACACACCTGCCACAGGAAGTGCCGGAAAGAGCCGCCTGCGGGACACATGGAGGCTGATGGGCATCGGGGGCCCCGCCGGCCCGCCCTGCCCGCCCGGAACGGCAGCTCCTTTGCCGGCCTGAACTCGGCTGCGGCGGAGACAGAGCTCGCCTGAGGGTGGGGAGACCTGGGGTCAAGTCCTGCCGGGCCACTCACTGGCTGGGTGACCCCCAGGTCATCACTTCTCAGGGACCCAATCCGTCAAAGGGGGACAGTCACCGTACCTACGTCGCAGGCTAGTTTCAAGGAGTCAGAGAGACCGGACGCAGAGCCCTGCGTATCTGGCACCGCCGTGAGCTTACACGGATCCGCGGGCTCGTTTAATCCACCTCCGTCGCTCCGGGTTGCACCAGGAGTGGGGCCGCCCGTGCTACTCCGTGCTCCCCTCCCTCCCCCCAGGCCCAGGTGCCCAGCGTCTATCTGTTCGGTGAGCAGCGTCCAGCCGAACAGCCTGACGCACGAACGCCCGCAAAGGGCAACCGGCGATCATCAGCATCTCTGCTGCCGTCATTCCAAACGTGCCTGCGGTTTTCTTGCCGACTCCTCTCTGTGGCTGGATCCCCTCTCCCCTGTGCACCCCCTGTCAACGTCCTAAGGTCAGGAAGCTCAGAGGACAGCCGTGCGTGCCCACTGCTTGGTCGGAGCCACGCACAGGACGCGCCTGGGGACAGATGTCCTCACTCAGCTTCCACGGAGAAGCAGGAGACCCCGGCCTGCTGAAGCCGCCAAGGGCTGGGCTTGGGAATCGGACAGACCTGGCTTTGAACCCCAGCTGGCTGCCCGACCTTGGGGACACTACTTGGGTTGGCAGCGTCCCAGTTTCCCCACCGGTCCAGTGGGACGAGGCCGGTCTCTTGTGCAGTGTTGGTGCTGTGAGGAGTGGAAGGTGCTGAGCACGCGGTCCTGAGAGCCGGCTGTGCCCGGAGCACGCTACGGTGCCGGTTGGTGGCTCTGGCCAGGCCCCCGAAACCGGCCCCCGGGCCCGTGGCGGGGAAACGGTGCTTGCCAGGGACCTCCGCCCAGTGCCGTCCCAGCTTGGGGACCCCACCTCTGGTGAGCACTAGGGGGGTGCCCTTCGTGCCGAACGGACACAACAGAGACACCCTCGGTTTGGGTCGGCCCTCTCCCCCGGGAAGGGCCGCTGGGCTCAGAGTTCGGATGTGTCCCATGGGAGACGGGGGCACTGGGGAGCCCTTCGGTCGTCCTGGCTTCTGCAGAGCAGGCTAACAAGGACACAGCTTCCTTAGTCTCGCCAGTGGGGGGGATTGTGGGCAGTTTAGACTAAAAATAACTCCAAAAATGTTCTCATTTTCAACACAGCCTCCACCCGAACTGGCTGCAGAGCCCGGCGGGGGCCGCCACTTACTGGTGCCATGGACCTCCTCCCCGGTGAAGCGGATGTTGAAGGCGTAGGTGGGGTCACCGCCACTGGCCAGCTTGACACAAAGCTGGGATGAGGGCACCGAGGCCAGCTGCCTGGCAGCCTGGCAGAAGTAGGAGTTTTCAGAAGCTCTGATCTCCCCTGGGAAGAGAGAGGAACCAGTAACACCCCCCGCCCCCCCACCAACCCCCCGCCCCGAAGCACCTTCCTCTCCTTCCTCTGCTCTTCCAGCCCAGGACGGACACCTGGCCGGGCCTTCGCCTGCCTCCTGGCCCTCTCCCTGCCCCTGGTTCTGCCGCCTTGCCTTCTCTCCACTTTTGGAACATCTTCGTGCCTTGGCCGTGTGGCTCCCAGCCTTCCCTCTGTCCCCGGGGAGGGGGGGTGTCCTCCCCATCTGTGATCCTCTCCCCTCCAGTTCGTGTCATTTGTGGCACGTGGGTTCACGTGCCGTGGCAGACTCCTGGCTGCCTCCCCAGCAGCCACTCGCCCCAGTTGCTTCGATGCCAGAACCCCGACTCCAGCAAGCCCACGGCCAACCAGAGTTCAGCGTACACACCCCAGCCTCCCCTGCAGTTAGGTGTGGCCACGTGGCAGGCCTCCCGGGAGATGGGAAGCCAAGGCGAGCCTCCAGGAAGTGGAGAGCTCCTCCACTCGCTCTTGCTGCCAGGAAGGCAGGCTCACTAGGGGACCCTGAAGGTGGGAGTCACACACTGGGACACTAGAGGAGAAAGACGAAGCAGCCAGATGGATATCTGGACTCCCTTCTTCTAGAGGCTTCTTTTCTGTGCAAATCAACTAAATCCTTTGTTCGATATCACAGCTATGTTGTATTTTCTGGTCTGTACAGCTAAGTTTACCTCCCACGATTTCCAGGGGGTCCAACGTGATCTCTGGAGCTGCATGGTCAGCTGTCCTCTGTGCGGTGGCGTTTAGCACCCGATTCATGACCGTCACCTTCGTGTCGTAAAAGATGAGCCCTGCGGGGAGGAATGTGGGAGAGAGGCCGGGATGGGGCTGCTCGCCTTCCTTCCCTGTGGCCTCTGAGGCCCGGCGGAGGACATGCTGTCCCCTTTGGGTCTGTCTAGTCTCTCCTGGGATGCCCTTCAGGCCCCTGAGGCACTCAGGTGTCATAGTCCTGACCTTCCAGGAGGCAAGTTCATAGTATCTGCTCAAATGGTAACGCACGAACCTTGACTCTGTTGTGCCCAGGAACACCTAGTTGGCAGATAGCGAATCAGAGCCTTATGTATTTCTAAATAACCCGAAAACTTTTTGTTTTTAAGCTTTATTCACTTAAGTAACCTCTACCTTCAGCATAGGGCTTGAACTCACGACCCTGCGATCAGGAGCCGCGAGGTCTTCAAACTGAGCCAGTCAGGAACCCTTGAAAACTTTAGAAAATTTAATTTTTCAAAGCATAGCTGAAGTAACCGCTCTTGGCTGGGAGCGCCGTTCCTGGGGACACACGTAGGTCACATGTAAAGGAGAAGGGTCATCCCGGGCAGTTGCTGGGTCTGGCCGCGGCGGTGGGCGCAGGCACTGACCTTTGGCCTCCTTCAGCAGGGCGGCGATGCTGTGGGCAAACATGGGGGTCTGGCGCAGCTCCACCAGAGGCAGGAAGAAGGTCTCCAGCGTGGTGTTCAGGGACTGGAGCAAGGCGAACCGCAGGCGCAGGCTCTCGACGGGCACGTCTGCAGGGCACGGGGGGCGGTCAGGCCGAGACCCTCGGTCACGAACAGACTCAAGTGGCCCCCATCGTTCGAAGCGGCCATCAGGAGAGGGCACTTAGGGGGGACCGGGAGGCTCCCACAGGGGATCTCATCCCCGACACCCAGAGACGCTCAGCAAGTGGGGCCCTCAATCTGCCGGAGCCTGTGCCTTGCAGAAGCAAAGGCGGGAGGCCCCGCCTGGCCAGAAGGGAGGCTCGGGCGCTCGGGGAATCCGAGGGCGCCCCCTCCCACCTTGGCCTATCTTTGGGGCCCTGCAGAGCTGCTATTTTTAATTTTCAACTTCAAAATAATGAGACTTCTAGGAAGCCACAAAAATAGTACAGAGTCCCGGGTACCTTTTATCTGCTTTCCCCCAAAAGCGACACATGTCAAGACCTGGACACGGAGATACTGGCACACTGTCTTACTTGTTCACGCTCACGTCTGTCTCCTCTCCAGCTGGGAGAGATGGACATCGGGACCACGTCTGGCCCACGTTTACCTTGGAAGTATCAGGAAGAGAGCAAAGGCCCAGGCCGTGTGGCTGAGCAAGAGTGGGCAGACTCAAAACCGCCTGTGGCACACACGTGCACAGGCACAGAAACAAGCCCAGCGGTCACCTTCCACGGACGGATTTATGGAGAACGTCTGTGGGTGCATTTGTGGGTGCATTTGTGGGTGCACACGCACTCCTAGCTTTTAGTAAAGACACGCCGCGTGCTCTCCTAATGGAGAATGCTTCTAACGCGCGGCCAACTCTGAGCCCCGCCCCCTCACCACCGACTCCAGCAGGGCATCCACCGTGACCTCTGGGCGGAGGCCTGGGTGCGGTGATGGGGCGTGGTCTCCCAGCAGCACCCGCGGCTTCCTTGCACAGAGCACACGGTGAGGCCTTGTAAACTTTTAGCTCGGCCACAGTCGCAGCTTCGTGCCTTTCTCTCCCTCTTCTTTGCCCACGTGGCTCACGGCAGGCGCGCCTACCCTGGCGGCGGTGCAGGGGACGGTCCCCGAAAGCCAGACCCCCGGGACCCACATACTCAGGAGACAGGCCACTCTGGGGTCGGCGGCGTCTGCGGGGTCCAGATACACCTCGTGGGGGTGGAGCCTCGCGGGCGTGATGGCGAGATGGCGGCACAGCCGGTTGATGTACTGCACGAGCGCCACGTCCATCTCCAGCGTCCACTTCCTTGAGGCCTTGTGCGCGTGTCGGACATCGATGCAGGCACACCTGGGGCGGGGGGAGAAGGGCGAGGTGGGGCGGGGCCGCCGGGGACACGGGGGACTCCTCCTCCCTCCTTGGGACGCCGGTCGCGACCCAGCGGGAGGAGGGAGCAGAGCAGGCTGTAGGGGCCTAGGGGCCGGAAGGGCACATCCCTCCTGGGGTTTGGCGACGCGCACCCCCAGGTGCTCCCTCCTGCGCGGGGCGAGGGCGCCTGGCTAGGGCTGGGGCTCCGGAGCCCTTGGGCTCAAATCTCGGCCACCTGGCGACCCGGGCCACAAAGAAGCCTGCTTTCTGAGCCTCGGCTTCCTCACCTATAGGATGGAGCCATAGCGGCGGCGCTGGCCTCATGAGTGCTCGCTGAGGGCGCGCACGGCCAGGGCCCGAGAAGCCACCGGCCGCCGGCCTCACTGAAGCCGTTACCCTCGGCCAGCGGCCCCGTCCCTGGGTTGGCGCCGGGAGCTACGCCAACAGGCAAAGGTGTGTTTGTGAGGGCAGCGCTTTAACTGCAGCCACATCACACACGACGCAAGTGCCCACGGCTACGGGACCGCGGAGTCCTCTCCTGCGGTGACACTGAATGATGAGGAAGAAGGAAAAAAAAGGCAGACGTCTGGTCTGATCCCACTTCCGTAGCACCAAAAACTCTACCCCCAGAAAATGTTGGGAGACACGTTTACAGAAGCCCCCTGGGCACCGAATCACAGGCCCTCTCCCCTGTGCCTGCCTATACTGCATGGGCTTTTTATTACGCGTGCACGTCCTTAACCTACAAACGTTCAGCTGCTCACCCGAGAGAGGCAGGCAGGCTGGTGGGTGGATGGGTGCCTTAGCTCCAGAGCCCGCAGCACCTCAACTGGGGCACGTGCCGCACAGGGTGCATCCTGCCAGGAGGGCCTTCCTCGGGGCAATGGCAGAACCTCTCCGGACAGGCCTCCTCCCTCCTACGCAAGCAGCGCTTAGAGAGCGAGCTTCCTCTGTGGGGATCCCCTCACAGCCCCCCCACACTGGCTGCCCTTGGGCCCGGTGTCGGAAGGGGCTCAGGGCACAGGGTGGCCCCATGACACGCCGGAACGAGCCCTTTAGCTGCAACAAACACGTCACTTGGAAATCCGTTTGTAGTCCAATTTGCACCCTTCCCACTTCAAATGCACTTTCTAGTCCAAAACAGGTGATTCTACTTTTCAAAAGCCCCAGAGTTCTCTCCCCTACTGGCTTAGTAAGAAACTCATTCCTGCCACCATGATGCAGGCCCATCCAGGGATGGACCCGGAGCCTTCCGTGAAGGAACAAAATGGCGGAACCAAGCAGCAAATGGCTTCTGAATCCTGAAAGTGGCTTTTTAAGCCACTCTTTCCCTGACGCCGGGCACACCTTGCTTTGAGCGCCAGGGGTGAGCGCTGGAGTAGGGTAGGCAGGTGTCTTCCAGTTTGCAGACGTCACGCCTGCCTGGGACTCCCTTATGGCTAGAAAGGGGAAACCATCCTTGTCTGGCCCTGGGGACCTGGCGGGCAGTGACCTTGCTGCGCTCCTGCCTGGGAGGGAGAGAGAGTGGGCAACGGAGACTCGGAGACAATGCGGGACTCTGAGGAACAAAGGGTCTTTGGAAAGAGAAATCATTCCTGTTAGGGGCTGAAGCGTATCTCCCCCCCCACCCCTTTCCTAATGAAGTTAAAGGAGGTCATAAGGGCGGGGCCCAGACCAGCAGACTGGTGTCCTCATCAGAAGTGGGCAGGCAGTGGCCCGTGTGCGCGCAGTGAGAAGGTGACCTTCTGTCCATAAGGCAAGGACAGAACTCAGGAAAAACCAACCCTGTTGAGCCCTTGACTTCCAGAACTGTGAGAAAATGAATTTATTGTTTAGAACAGAGTCTGTTTCCAAACAGGTTCTAACACCCACTTTAATAATTATGAAAAATTTGAAAATAACTCAGTAGGCATTAAGAAAGGCAGACAGAATGGTTCCCTGGAAGGATTTTCTTGGGAATACATCCGGTGGCTGAAAACGATTTTTTTTTTAAGAGAGAGATAGCACGAGAGCAGGGTGGGGGAGAGAGAGAGGGAGGGAGGGAGGGAGGGAGAGAGAAGAGCGAGAATCCCAAGCAGGCTTCACACTGAGCGTGGGGGGCTCGAACCCATATCCCTAGGATCATGACCTGGGCCAAAATCAGGAGTTGGACACTGAACTGACAGAGCCATCCAGGTGCTCCCCCCAAAAAATTTTTATACAAGGTATCAACTGGGTTGAGAGACATAACTTCTTACCTCTCAAAGTGAAGGTCATAACCGCAGGATAAAATCGCCCTCCAGACGCTACGGATGTCTTGCTTGGCTCGGTCAATGACAAACTTGTGAAATCCTTCCAAGGTCAGATACTTCTCCTCAGGGACTGATGGAGAAGCATTCAGACTATTAGGAGTTTGGTAGAACCTCCCACTGCAGGGGCCCCACTACATGCCCTCAGACGTCTCTGGCAGGGCCCGATCCACATAGTGCCCGCCTCCCGCCCCTCCAGGGTCCGTCACCGACCTGGCACAACCTGCGACCTCATGAGGTCAGCGAGCCACAGCCTGACTCTTCTCCAGCTCTGCTTGGGCCTTTATGAAGCTCAAGTTCTAATGCCCAGTAAGTGCCTTCTGGAAGCGAATTTCTAAGCAGATCTCCAGATCTTTACTTTCAATCACCATCATCTACTTTTCATCTTGGATACATGGTATTTTGGGAGCTGCTATGCTGACCTCCATAAATTCACAAAGATGGCATTGAGGCCCTGCCTCACCTAAACCCCAAGGGAGCCCAGCCAGTCAGACAAATGCTGGGTCCAGGGGCCTACCAGTCTCCAGCCCCAAGTTACTCATTCACCTTCTTGTTTTTTGGTGGGTGACTTCTCTGGGTCCTTCTCATCTGGCTTGCTCTTTTCTGGGGACTTTGGCTTCACGGTTGGCTTCTTCTCACTTAAGGCAGTCCTGCTATAGACCAAAGCACTGCAATCAGAATCCCTGCGCCTATACCTTGTCCTGACAGAGGACATGCAGAGCCTCACACGCGCATTAGTTCAGACTCCCCCCCCCCCCCCCCCCCCCCCCCCCCCCCCCCCCGGCACCCCCCACGGCCTGCAGTTCCCACAGGGCTGGGCTCAAGACCAGCTCTGTTCTCACCAAGGGGTTTACTGAGCAAATTAGGACAAAATGATGCCTTAACTATGAAAACTCTGAAAGATGCTTTTTGAATGTTCCTTCTACATACTTTTGAGCTGCACAAAGAAGCAGTCACTAGTCAGATGTAGCCAAAGTTTAAAATAAAATAACAAACTCAATTCCTTGATCATACTGGCCACATTTCAAGCGCTCAGTGGCCACCTGTGGCTAGTGGCTACCGCATTCAACAGCACAGACAGGGAAACAGCATAGATTTCCATCACAGAAAAGTCTATTGTACGGTTCTGGTTTGTAAGCACCACTTATATATAATTAATTAATGAAAGGACAGTTGATTTTTCTGATCCTTTAAACAATTCCTCTAGAGACTCCTGCCTGGTCACACTTTGCTATCGAAGATTCAGTTTTGAGTTCCTGAGAGTCATCCGCCTATGTCTGCAGAAAATTCTGTTAATTATGTGTGCACACCCACACACGAAATACTATAGCGCTATAAAAAAAAAAAAGGGCGGGGCGCCTGGGTGGCGCAGTCGGTTAAGCGTCCGACTTCAGCCAGGTCACGATCTCGCGGTCCGTGAGTTCGAGCCCCGCGTCGGGCTCTGGGCTGATGGCTCAGAGCCTGGAGCCTGTTTCCGATTCTGTGTCTCCCTCTCTCTCTGCCCCTCCCCCGTTCATGCTCTGTCTCTCTCTATCCCAAAAATAAATAAACGTTGAAAAAAAAAAAAAATTAAAAAAAAAAAAAAAAAAAAGGGGCACGAAGTTATTTTTGTGTTGATACGGGGTCATCCCCAAGATTAGTAGTAAATGGAAACAGCAAGGGGTAGGCCCTGTGTACAGTATGGAGACATCTGGGAGAACGCTCATGTGCTTGTGTGTACACAGGAGAGTTCTGGAAGGCTCTGGAAGTAACACTGGCAATCTCACGGAGGGCGGCAGGAAGGCTTAGATGGAGAAGAGGTGTCGCTTTTGACTGCATATGCTGTTGAATTTTGTACTACTTTAAAATTTAAGAAAATAATACATATGCACCAATAAAAGGTTATACACTTAACTGTTAAAAGCGGGTTGCTATATAAGTAACGATGTGTTTTTAATATGCATTTTACAGTTTTTCTGTATGACCTATGCATTCTTTGTGTGGTTAAAAGAAGTCAGATTTTTTTTTTTTTTTTAAACAATTCTGTACATTTTGGATGTCGTATTACTTCAGACTGGCCTGCCTTCCAGCCTGCATGGTCCAGATTTTACTACACTTATGGGTAAAATGGAACACTGTGTCTCTGAGTTGACGAAGCCGGGGACCAAGACGGCGCAGCAGCAAAGAAGAGCCAGGGTGTCTGCACCTCTGGGGAGCAAGGAGAGCCTTGCGGGGAAACGGTCAAGGCGGCGGCCCCGCGGCCCCCGGCGGACGCACACGCCGGGCCCCTCGGACGCGCACCTGACACTGTTGAGCGCAGCCTTGTCCTTGGCGGGCGGCTTGGTGATGGGCCGCTTGGTGCTCACCACCTTCACGGGGTGCTGCTCCTTCCCGCCTTTGCTGTACTTGCTCTTGTCGAACTTGGGCTTGGGCACGCCGTATTTCCTCAGGATCTGTGGGCACCAGAGGGAGGGAGGGTCCTTGGGCTCAGCCCAAGGCGCACCTGAGGCCCGGCACGCGGGGCGGGGCGGGGCATCTACCTGCGTGAGCTGGTCTTCCAGCACCTTTTTCGGAGGCCGGACGTTGGTGAAGAAGAGGTGGAGGAGGTTGCCTGGGGTCTGGGAGTTGATCTGCTCCTTGCTAAGATAAATGTCCGACACTTTGATGGGCTTTGCCGGTGTTAGGCTCAGCATCTGTTCCGAATGGGCACAGCTCTTAAATATCTCCGTCAGCACCTCCCTGGCACCGGGCACCAGCTTCTCACCTGTTACAAAACAGGGGAGGACCAAACAATTCTGCCGTGAACGTGCTACATCAGGAGGAGCCTTGCAGCATTTTCTCAGAAACAGCTCATCTTGGAACGTGGGTAATAGACGTTTAGTGGCAGTGAGGAGCAGGCCACCAAAACCTGGTTTCCCCTTCGCGGGCACACACCCCCGCCGCACTCCCGGCCCGCCCTGCTGCTGGGTGTGGTCCTGGGACAGGAGACGGAAGCAATCCTGGGCCAGTCTGCCCTCATCCCCTCCACCGGCTGCACGGACACAACAACCCCCTGGGACTCGGACCTCAGCACTCACCCTGGATTCTTCCATGTGCAAGAAACACACTTCCACTGGGTTTGAGCCACTGTCCTCTTAGGGCTACTTAGCGCAGCAGTTTAATCTACCTTAACTTCAACCACACGTTTGTGACGGGCAGTCCCGAAGGAACAAGAGAGTACAGAGTCTGCAAGTGCTTTTAGTACAAAGCGCAAGCTGTCGAGCACATCTCGCATTATTAGTGTGCTTCAAGACTTGAGCAAGTGGGAAAAGAAAGTTCTCTTAGATATAAGAAGATTGTCCATGAGCACAAGAAAAAAAAGTTGGATGCTTAACCGACTGAGTCACCCAGGCGCCCCTAAAATAAACAAACTTAAAAAAATTTTTTTTAATTTTACCAGTTTGTTCGTTGTGGATATTTTGCATTAACTTTGACTTCTATAAATACAGAACCAAATTATTATTTATCTAGATTACAGAGATTTTTGGAGCCCATTAAATTTTGTGCCCAAGACCTCACTTCCCTCACCCTGGTCCCAGGCCTGAGGGAATATTTCAAAATTTTATGATTGGGGCAACAACAAAGCCCATATTTGGTATCATATTTTTGTACTTGTGGAACATGAAACAAATTCTATAATACTACTATGAAATTTCAAATATTCAAGATTTAGAAAAAAAGGACGTGGATGAAAAATGTCGAGCAAGACTAGAAAAAAAAAAAAAAAAAAAGACTAATCCTAACAAGAAAATAACCACTGTTTCTAAGTGAGGCGAGCCGTCGGCCTCAGATGGGAGTCTGCTGCTAGATTCTGCTCGGCGGGGCCTCGGGGCCCACGTCCTGGATGAACACTCCGTATCACACAAAAGAAGCGGGGAAGCCACAGAGGGTCCACCCCAAAGAGTCGTCAGAATGACAAAGTGGGACTTGGTGAATAAGGAGCTGGAACTGTTTCTTCCCCAAGAATCAGAGCAGAGGTGGAGACATTTACTGTCCTCAAGCAAATGACCAAACGATCACCAGACATGTGCTTGGTATGTTCCAGCTCCACAGCACGGAACAAAATAAATACACCTGAACTTGAACAGAGGGAAGCCTGGCTAGATAAAAAGCAAAATGGGACTTGGACGCAAGTCCATTCCGAAGAGAGTCGTGGCACAGCCGCTCCCGGAGGTCTCCTGGCTGGAACGCAGCAGTGCCCCGATGGCCCTCAGAACCCTGACAACTGCCGTGAGCCGGGCAAAGAACCTCTTGTCCCAAATCCATGACACCCTCCACATCATTTCTCAAATCACCAACCCCTAGAGGTGCTCCCCAAGGTTCCTTTCTCAGGTAAGAGGTTAAAAATAGGGGATATTGAGGGGCACCTGGGTGGCTCAGTCAGTTGAGCGTCCGACTTTGGCTCAGGTCACGATCTCACAGTTCGTGAGTTCAAGCTGTGCTGACAGCTCGGAGCCTGGAGCCTGTTTTGGGTTCTGTGTCTCCCTCTCTCTCTGCCCCTCTCCTGCTCACGTTCTCTCTCTTTCAAAAATAAACCAACATTGGGGCGCCTGGGTGGCTCAGTCAGTTGAGTGTCCGACTTCGGCTCAGGTCACGATCTCGCGGTTCGTAAGTTCAAGCCCCATGTTGGGCTCTGTGCTGAGAGCTCAGAGCCTGGAGCCTGCTTCAGATTCTGTGTCCCCCTCTCTCTCCGCCCCACCCCTGCTTGTACTCTCTTTCAGAAATGAACAAACAAAAAAAATTAAAAAAAAAAATAAACCAACATCAAAAAAATTGGGGATATTAGAAAAAAAACAGGGGATATTGGGTACAAAGAAGGGAGGAGAGGACTTTTGCTCATTTTTTCCTGTAAATTTAAAACTGCTCAAAAAACAGTCTATTCATTAAGAAAAAAATCCATAACCCACCTTTAATTGATTTATCATTGAAATAATCTTCTAGCCCTGGGCTCCCCTGAGTATCAAACAGACTCTGATTTACTACAGATACAGTGAGAATCTCCTCCGTTGACATCTCCATCAATTCATCTTCACCGTCCAAACTTGACAAACCGATCAAGTCATTGTTGTTAAATAAACTTGCTCGAATTTTCTCAATCTTGGCTCGGGATCTTATCTGTGCGAACAAAGAAAAGGGTCAGCATTGGAGGAGAGGAACGAATGGCCTTGTTTTCCTTCCCGCCTTTCCCTGAAACCCTGTCCTCGTCTTCAGTGCCGTGAGTGCAGTCTGACCCTGCTAGCTGGCCTCCTCCTGGTAAGGTATCCGCCACCTGCCAATAGCACTAACTTGGAAGGGAACATCTCAAGTGGAAACCTCTGTCGCTACTCCCTGGCCAGGTCTGTGGCTTTACTCTGATGCCCAGGGAGCTAAAGTCCATGCTCGGCTCGGAAAAAGCCCCCAGGCAGAGGGTGCATAGATTAAGAGAAGCGATTCCAGGGAAGAAGCCAACCACCAGGTTCTTGAGCTTTCCTGTCAGAGCTCCCTGGAAGAGGAAGGTGAGGCATGTTTCCTTCTGAGGGCCTTCCTCTCCGTGTCCAGGGAGGCGAGGACAGTTTTACTCTGAGCCTGAGTCCCCTTACACAAGGGTGCAGGAAGACACAGGAGGTGGGATTTCTAGACAAGGAGGCCCAAGAAGCAGATGGGATCTTGACGTGTAAATGTGACCTGGAAACTCAGAATCTCTCCAGCAGAACGGCAAGTCTGTTCTCACGCTCATCAGTGAAGATCCCTCCCGCCAATGGCAACATTTACAACGACCCAAGGCCACTCAAAGCTATACCGGCAGGCCTGAGCTGGATCGCGCTTGATGAAGCCCATCCGCCAGGAAAGGCAGGCCCCTCAGACCCCTCTGCCTCCCTCCCACACTCAGCAAGAACTGCAGGACTTCATGAGATCAGACTTGACATCACTCGCAGAGATGTGACCTCAAACACAGATAATCAACATAGTAAGTCACTGCGGTTTCCAAGAGCCGCTTCAGGGAGCTCCCTAAGTGCCCCCGGGTCACCTAGCAGTTAATCCCTCGGAAAGGACACTGGAGGGTTTAAAGAGGCTTGTGGGGGTTCAAGCCGCTCATGATTTCAGTGGTTGCCGAAGCGTGAGCGCCGTTACCTCCACGACCGCGAAGCCTTTGATGGGGCGTGCTGCGAGGGGCTGGTTGTCCAGGGACGTGACCGTGTACGCGGAGCCCATGTCCGACACAGAGGCCGTCTCTGCGTTGTCCAGTGGCTCCGCCAGGCTGCCCAGGCTGCCCAGACTGCCAGTGCTGCACAGGGAAATGTCTAGACTCTCCTGGCTGGACACCACGTGGGGCTCCAATACGCCAGGAGGGATGGGCGGCTCAGGGCCTGAGGGCAGCGGATCCACGGAGAGGTCACTGACTGTCTGCGAGATGCCCTGGGAGCTGCAGGTGGAGGCCTGGCTGGTGGAAGCAGACGCGCTCACGCTCATGGCAGGGGTCAGGCTGCTGGACGTGCTGACCTCCAGGCTGTCTGTGCTGGGGAAGCCGAGGGTCTTCTCCGCCTCGGCTTTTCCATCGCCGCCCTCGGCCTTGTCCTTCGGCTTCCTGGGGTCTTCGTCCTGCAGGGGGATGTAGATCTCGTCTTTGAAGACCCCGCCGTGGGCATTGCAGGCCTTGCGGATAGCACCTCTGACGATGCCCTCGTCCAGGTGGGTGGGGATCCCAGAGATGACCAGCAGGCGGCTGTGGGCGGTGGGGCCCACCAGCGCCTGGCAGGCGTCGGCGATGGCGTCGCTCGTCACGCCCAGGCCCTGCGGGTCCTTCCTGGTGAGGTGCCGGAGAATGATGAGCAGGGTGAGGGCTCGATGAAACCACAGCATGTCCTCGGGCTTGCTGCCCCCGATGCTGAGCATGGCGGAGTCGGACTCCACTGAGCGCGAGGACTGGCGCTTCCCAGAGGAGGAGGCCTTTTCCCGCTTCATCTTGACTTTTTTCCTCTTAGACAGGAGGCTGGGGCTCTGTGGCGTCTGTCCCGGGGAGGAGGACGAGGAGGACGAGGAGTCGCTGAGATTGGGGGCGGTCGTTGAGGGCACCCCACTGGCCGTGACACTCATGTTCGTGGGCAGAGTCACTTCAGCCACCGCCAGGCAGCCTTCCATGAGCGCGTGAAAGTAGGTGGAGAACCTGCCGTGGTCCGCGGCCGCCACCGCCCCGGAGCCTCCGCAGGTGCCGCCCGAGACCCAGCTCTGGGTCTCCTCGTCATACAGCTTATGGAGCTCCGACTGCAGGGCCATCAGCATGGCCAGACAGGGGTTCAGCTGGAGGGCGATGGACGAGGACAGGCCAGCAGGGTGCTTCCTCTGCTCCAGGGCGTGCACCGTGCGCAGCAGCTCCGCCAGGAGATGGAAAACAAGCTCCTTCACACAGGCCGCCATGTCCGTGGTCCACAGGAAGTTTCCTGAGGCAAATATAAAACAGTAACAGCAGCGGTCACTTGTACGGCCCCGATTCTGTACTAGGGACTGTTCCCGGCCACGTGACGCACTCCGCCCTCCCGGCAACCTCAAGAGAGGCAGGACCTACGCTACTCACCCCCATCTCACACATGAAGCAGAAGCAGAGGCTCCAAGAGCTGAAGCCTGGCCGGCTGGCCCCAGAGCCTGCGGCCTTAACCCCCGTGCCACACGATCGTGCAGAGCCGGCGTCTATGGCTCACACCAAAAAAAAGTCATTTTCTTTCTCATAAGGTTATCAAGCGAGTTAGTGACAAGTCACGAGAACAGGACTTCCCAAACCATGAGACGCTTACTCTGGGGGGCACACAATCCAATTTTATCAGCTAGCACAGAAATCCACACTGGCAAGGTATCCTAACTCCTCTTCCAGCCCCGGTTTTTTCAACAAGAAAGCCTTACTGTGAGCTCGTGTATATATTATATATATATTCTGATATATATATATATATATATATATATCCTTGACAGACAGTGGGCCACAGACCCAGAGCCTCTGACAGGCAGCAACAGTCAGAATTTCCTAACAGTAACCATTTTTATCTTTAACCTTCTGGTTATAGCAAGAGATACTAATTTTCCACTTAAAGTAGCAACATAAAACTCCCCTTAAAGTTTAAAAAAAAAAAAAAGAGAAAAGAGCTGATTGCCAGAAAATCAATAAACGCTGACAAACATGATTCACAGACATGGTGGAAATCACACAAAGAAGGCATGACAAGGACTGAAGTTCAGGAAATTTGTCTAGGACAAGATGGGTCACAGGTTTCTATCAAGATCCCTTTGTGCCAGATGTGTATCTTAAATTCACACACTCATGCTGTGGGCACGGAGCCCCAAGGGCCAGGTCAGCTGACTTATCAAGAGTCTCCAATCAGGCTCAGCACCTATAAGGGGAGGGGATTAGACTGCCTGATCTCTTAGGGGAGATGCTGTTTTGTAACTATTTTAAGTTTGTTTATGTATTTTTGGGAGGGAGGGCACAAGCTGGGGACAGGCAGAGAGAGGGAGAGAAAAGAATCTCTGCGCTCACAGCGCAGAGCCCAACGCGGGGTTTGAACTCATGAACTGTGAGATTATGACCTGAGCCAAAATCAGGAGTTGGACCCTTAACCGACTGAGCCACCCAGGCATCCATTTCGTAACTTTAATTGGAAATGAACTCAGGGTTGTCATGCCATGTGGGCACTCATGAAGCCATTCAAGAGAACAAAGGTCACCCTCAGATGCTCATGTGACGTCCTTCCATTGTCCTTCCTCTGCTGTTTGCCATTTACATGAGAGGACAGTGTTGGAGAGAATTCTTCTCTGCCAAGACTGCAAATGGCCAGTGAGTGGAGGCTGGTCACAGACATTTCCTTCCTACAGTGGTTCCCCACTCACCTTCCCTGATCCCTCACCCAGTGTGTTTTAAAGAATTTGGTTTCGTTGCCAACATACAAAAGCTGGGAAATTCACATCAACATCTGCATTACCGGTTTCTGAAATAATGCAGCAGTGAGTGGCAGGGCTCGGTGACTGTCTGACGGAACATGAGGTGCCCGGGCCCACTTTCCTTCTATTTCCCCCATTTACGTCATCTGTCTGACCCCTGAGGGCATTTAAGTCTGCAATATCGTTTCCCGTCAAACATTTTATGGTAAAAAAATTTCAAATACATGGGGAGGCTGAACTACTTACACAGTGAATGCCCGTACGCCCACCACCTGGGTTCTCCCATTACCATTTTGCTAAATTTGCTCTTATGTACCTTTCTACCTATCTATTCACACAGAAACTTATCTTAGGATTTGATTATTTCAAATTAAGTTGCAAACATCAGTCTGTTTTATCCCTGAACACTTAAGCAGCCATATCATTAATGAAGTTCAATATTTATTTAGAATTTGAGGTAAATTTACACATGGTAAAATGTAAAACTCTAAAGTTTACCATTCTATGAGTTTTGCCAAAATGCAACCCCCCCTTTAAAAAAAGGTTTCTTCATGTTTATTTATTTTTGAGGAGAGAGACACAGAGCACAAGCAGGGGAGGGGCAGAGAGAGAGACACACACAGAATCCGAAGCAGACTCCAGGCTCTGAGCTGTCAGCACAGAGCCCCTGATGCGGGGCTCAAACTCATGGACCGTGACATCATAACCTG